GTGGTATTAGTAAACATAATATCCATCTCTGAAAGTATACCTCCCAGTCAGCTGCCTCCCCTCATGAATAGCAATTTATGAGGCTGAGGATGCAAGTTTGCCTGGCAATATCCCAATCTAAATAAGGACAATCGAACAGGTTTGTTTTTTTTGTTTTTTGTTTTTTTTTCCCTTAAGGCCACATGCTTCTGACTTACAACTCTGCAGCTTTGAAAAAGAATAGCCTCTAGGGACACTTTCAAAAGCAGAACTCATAAAATATTGGCATTTACATTTGAAAATGTCTTGTTAAAAAACCAACAAACAGTTGTATTCATAAGGAAATTATGTTATAATCCTTCAAAGAAGGTCAGAATTCAAATTCGGTCAGAAACTCCGTTTTTATTTTTCTCGCTTAAATCATCCTTCAAAAGAGATTTTTTTTGTTTTGATTTGTTTTCTTAACTGAAACCTGGCAGTCACTAAAGCTTAACAGGAAAAGGTGTGTGTGTGTGTGTGTGTGTGTGTGTGTGTGTGTGGGTTTTAAACCAATTAATAATTTGTTTTATCCTGCTTTATTATGTGTTGACCTTTTTCTGCAGTCCAGCCCAAGTTAAAAAAAAAACAATGCCTCGCTGGAATACTCACTGAACCATTTTTTCCTTTTTTTTTTTTTAAAGATTTTATTTATTTATTTGACAGAGAGAGCAGAAGCAGGGGGAGCAGCAGAGGGAGAGGGAGAAGCAGGTTCCCCGCTGAGCAGGAAGCCCAATGTGGGGCTCAATCCCAGGACCCTGGGATCATGACCTGAGCTGAAGGCAGACACTTAACCGACTGAGGGACCCAGGCGCCCCTAAACCATTTTTTTCTAGAAAGAGAATTTTCCATTAAAAACATCTCAGAATTCAGCAGGTTTTTTATATAAAGTTTAAAAGCACCTAAATGCTTCTTCATCTCTCTTCCTAAATCATCTGTTTTACTAATATTCCAAAGTCAAACTCTAATAATTGTATATGCATCTCAACAAGAACATTCTCAGTTTACTGCTGTGTCTTACTAAGTCCGTTGGAAATCAAATCACATCAAGGATTATTGCTCTAAAATTTCTAGCTGATATTTTGATCATAAATCATGGCCTTAGTAGATTCATAAGAGATAATCTTAGGTCTAACCAGTGGCATTATGGTAAATGTTTAACCACAGGCTCTCCAGAAAAAACAAATCCTGATTTGTTGCATTTCCCAGTTTCCATGGTGTAAATAAATACTCCCACTGTAGCCAATTTCAAGCTACCAATGTGGCATCACTGAAGGCAGAGTTGGAAGTGATACAAACACAATCCACACAACACTGGGTCTGACAACTCTGACAGCATGTGAGCTTTCATCAAAATTTCCAGGAAGTCTCCAAAGTCGCCAAAGTCAGATGTTACTGAAGAGATGCAGATGAGATACTGGGGTAAGCTATGTAACCTTTCTGTCAGTGTATTTCCTCATATGTATGAGGTATGTAAAATGGTAATAATCAAGTTTCTGGGTCATGGGATTACTGTGATGGTTAAATGAAATAGTGCATTAAAATGCTTAAAAGAGTTCTTGGCACATAGCAGGCTATAATAAGAGGTTTTTAGTAATAAATGTTAGGTATTGTTTTTCTAGGATCTATAATTCCAACTGTCAGAATGTTTTACACATTGTCATCTTAATCTTTCAGAGGTCATTAAAAACCATCCTGAGACGATGCCAATTACAGAGAGAAGAATACTAAGAGAGAGAAGAGAAGCCATACCTTAGTTTCTGTCCCTAGTTTTGACAAAGCCTACATCTGTGACCATTGGCAAACCTGTTTACTTCTAAGGGCTTTGGTTCTCTTATTAGTAAAGTGCAGAAAGTAACACATAGGGTTGTGGGGAGACTAATATGAGCCCTTGAAAGATGATCCAAATGTGGGGCAGTATTATTAATCCAGTTTAAAAATCAAGATGCCATGGAGGCATGGAAGCCTTGAAATAAAATAGTGAAAAGGTTTGTGTCATTTGAGTAAAAACTGGGAATGATGTAGTGTTAAGAGCTGGGATTTTTTTTTTTTTAAGAGAACACACACACACACACACACACACACAGACACACACACACCAGTTCTACTATGAAGCAGTTAAGCATTTTTTTCTTCCCACAAAAAAGCAATTTTCTAAAAAAGCAATTTTCAAATGAAAAGTAACTATACTTAGAAATGTAACATATGGGGCGCCTGGGTGGCTCAGTTGGTTAAGCGACTGCCTTCGGCTCAGGTCATGATCCTGGAGTCCCGGGATCGAGTCCCGCATCGGGCTCCCTGCTCAGCGAGGAGCCTGCTTCTCCCTCTGACCCTCCCCCCTCTCATGTACTCTCTTTCATTCTCGCTCTCTCAAATAAATAAATAAAATCTTTAAAAAAAAAAAAAAAAAAAGAAATGTAACATATGTGTAGACAAGTTAGGGATCATGGAGAACTAAGTTAACGACATATCCATAGAATCATAATTTTCTGGGAAACTTAATAAATATAGCATATAATAATCTATCAAATGAAAGACAAGATGTATTTAGAGAAACCAGATAGTTAACATTATGCCATTATGAACAAATTTTGTAAATCTCCAAGTAATTCCTTAAGATAAAATTTCTTTAGTTTTATAAATGAATACAAAAAATAAAATGTCAAGGACAGATTGAAGAAATCTTAAACACTCAATTTGTGAACATTCACTCAATTTGTGAACAATGAAGAGCATACGTGAAAATGAAGGAGCAAGGAAATTACAGAAACATCAGATTTTTTTAATTTACACTTTGAATCTCTGTTCACTTAGAAGAATTATATACATTATATATATTCAGTGAAAGTTAACCAGGAAAACAATTCTGCATAAAGTTTATAATCTAAAAGTATGCCTATGATTACCCCCCCACACACACACACAATTTATGACTCTAAATCATGTTTTAACAGAAGAGTTCTGTTCTGGGGACAAAGAAAAAAATCACCATGCCCTTTTCTGTCTGTTATTAGTGAAAATTCTCATGGTCTGATATTAAAAAGGTCAGTACCTGATATAGGAAGATCTCCAAGTTTCCTTAGGGGAAGGAAAGCAACATGAAACACTATATATATATAGTGTTCTAACTTCCATAAAAGGAGAAGAGAAAAATATGAAATAAAAATTTGTAATAAATCATTGGAAATAAACATAAATTTATGAATTGGAAATATGAGTAGATTGGGATGGGATAAGGGTGGAGGCAAGACTTTCATAAGGCACCTTTTTACATTATCTTTATTTTTAAATTATGTGAATTTTAACCTGTGAAACAACAAGTGGGGTGTGTGTGTGTGTGTGTGTGTGTGTGTGTGTGTGTTTAAGCCCAGTACACATGGATATGTAAGAACTTCAGTCTCACATCTGGTTTAACAGTTCTCGCCTTTGCCAAGCTCAGGCCTGACTCATGTATGGATACCTGCAGAAGCGAAGGGGAATGATAGATGTCCGCACTCTCCATGTCCCATCATCTGTCCCACTCACTCTGCTGTTTCTCATCGTTCAACAATGTGGTGGGGGGGTGGCAGGAAATTACAGAAGTCAGAGGGTGTTACAAGACTGATGTGTTTGTTGTCATCTATGGGACAAATGCCCAAATGCTGGTTATCTTTCTCTTCTGGGGAGCTTTTGTGTATCCTTCAGAGAACTTGCTACAACCCTCTTGGATGTTATGTGTTCTCTGATATTTGGGCTGCATATTTATGATTTCTCCCTGGTTTGTTCAACAATCACCCCATGCAGCCAGACTCTTTTTCGTCTTCTGAAGTCAGTTTTCTTCCACTACTGGTCAATCCCTTCAAAAGACTTCTACTTCACTTGCCTCATGACTTTGAAAAGCTTAGTGCCTTTTCTGTGCTAAACTCTGGAGGGACATGTCTCTTCCTCCACAGTGTCCCTTTTACCTGTGAATTCAAGGTAGTCTGAATCAGCCTGCCACCTTTATCTCTGTTGAGATGACAATCAGGAACCAGTCTTAGTACACTCTAAACTCCAAGAGATAGTGGTCAAATCTCTTACAAACTCTCATATACTCCACTGAGCCTTCTAGTAGCATTAGGATTCTCAGGATGCCCTCTTGAGGTTCTGAGGTAAGTACCCTCTTAGAGGAAAAAAAGGGAAAATGAACAGTTCTCTCTTAAGGCCAAGGTTTCTTAACCTCCATTCTATTGACACTTGGGGCTGGATAACTCTTTGTTGTGGGGGATTTTCCTGTGCATTGTAGGATTTGTAGCAGTATCTCCAGCCTCTACCCATCACATTACAGTAGCACACTCCCACCAACCAAACCAAAATGTATCCAAATATTGCCAAATGACCTGGTCAACAGCCACAGCACCAGGCTTAGAACCCTCTTCAAATAAATCCCCATTTCGTTATCTCCTTACCACTCTGCTAAGTATGAGGCTAGGTGATAAGGTCTAGGTGATGACTGAATACACTTTTGGGACTGTCTCTTAGCAAGCCCTGCACAGAGATTCTGACAGGACATCTTATGAGAATGTGTGGACATGCGACATCCATTTTCTCAGCAGGAACTCTGGAATCTTGAGATAATAGGAAAATCCTTATATCAGTGAAAATCGATATAAGCCTACATCTGTCTCTGAGTTTACAAATCTGCACCTAAAGACAATGAGAGTAGGGAGAGAGGAGACTTTAGTTTGTTCATTTAGGACTTAATTGTTTAACTATTTTTTTTATGTTCACCTATTTGGATTAAAATGTGTATTTTTAAAGAAAGGATCACAGTCCAGTTAAATAGCTACATGAAGAAAAACTCTTTAAATTTTAATAAGATCTTTATTCCGGTTTCATGACTAAGATATGCTCAATTCATATTTGAGATAAGTGAAGGCCAAGAAAGAGGAAAAGATAAGAGAGGCAAAGAAGATAGAAGGGAAGGGAGGCAAAGAAGATAGAAGGGTAGGGAGGCTAAAACGCACCTTGTTTCATCAATGTAAACAGCTTCCAACACAGATGCTGCATATTCAATATTCTTCTTTAAGTCTACGATGTTAACATCACCTTTTTCCAGCTGCTTCACTAAGCATCTTAGTCTGTTTCAAAAAAGTAGTCAAAAAAGAGAAATAAGAGATTTATTATAACTATGTGGAAAATAGTCCAGTATTAAATACACAAATCAAGTTAAACCAGTAATATATCTTTCTAGCCCATCAAATAGAAATATTTTCAGGAATTTTTTTGATATAATTTAAGTTCAGTTTTTGTCACTTGAACAACTCTTGAAAATTATATTCACCTCTCAATAATATTAGGGTGGTAGATTGCTATTTTAGGTACTATATTTCAAGGATAGTCTTTCTGAAAATTCAAAACAATAGAAATATTTCCATAAAAGTATATTCCTGACACTAGAATTTATTCTATGGCTGTTCTCCTTCTTCAGATTTGGCACTAAAAATTATTTAAAGGGTACTATTTATATCACTACTGTAGCAATTATTCAGTATATAGCAATAAAGACAAAAAGAAAGGCAAAAGATCTGAGAAAATACAATTATGATGAGAAAAAAAATATATGTATGTATGCTTCTTGTTTTTACTGAAATGATTTTTCACCTGAGGCGAATCTCTTCTTTTGCACATACAATGTTCCAACTTCCTGAGGAATTTTAAAGCATAGGGATCAATTAAGCCATGTCTGGATTCCTGACTCACAGAAACTGTGAGATAATTAATATTGTTGTTTCAAGACATTAAATTTGAGGATTAATTTTTTATGTAGCAATAGATATGGAGTGAGATAATATGAATACCAATACTTCTGTAAGTTCCTAACATTTTCAGAAACTTCTGTGCATTAATTATAAACCAAGTGTTTCTGAAGATATTACCCTATACGAGGCAGAAAAGGAAAACATATTCTTTACTTTCTACATATTATAGATAAACAATGTGAGGACTATTTATCCATTTTCCTATTAGGAGACGAAATTTAATTCCATTCCTGAACAAAGGTATTTTAGAGAGAATGGAGTGTATCTACTTTTAGGCACTGTCTTAGAGATAGCGTAGCAGATTTTCTGAAAATTTATTTTGGATGATTTCTAATACCAAGGCTAAGGGTTTAAAGATGAGTTAAAAATTTCAGCAAGAGTTTTGACAAATACTTTATTTCTCCATGGGAAAAAAGCCACACCTAGACTAAAACTTCTTCACGAATCTACAATTATTTTTTGTGCCATACATTTTTGTATGATAAAATATTAGCAGATAACAACAATGCAAAATAAAATCTATGTGTTAATTTAAAAAAGTCTATTCATACAGTCAGCAAAGTAAAACAAAACAAAGATAACAACTAAAACAGGTTACTGAGAAAGGAAAAATTAAGCCTGTCTGAATATGATGATAATGGAGTAACACATAGAGTGTTCTGAGATTTTTGTAATGCTTATTGACCCAAGCACATTATACTTAGTGAAATTGCCTTTTATGTGTGAGAGCAAAAGAAAGAGTCACAGCTCTGCAATGACTTAAACATATACCACTCATGTATCCTTCTTGTGAAAATTACTTGCTACAATGTGGTTGTATTTGGTGGTTGTATGAGGTACTTTTAAAAGCACTAAGTACTTCAGATGATTGGCTTCTCTTCTTTGGAATAAATAAACTCTTTTTTATTTGAATTCGCAATTTTCTCCACTAAAAAACTACATTTCTCAGGCTCTCTTGAAGCTAGTATAGTCATTCAACTGCTTTCTGGCCAAGGAGAGTAATAGGAGGTTGTTGAGTAAGAGTTTCAGAACAATGATTTTGAAGAGGGCTAACTCAGCTGGAAGGCATTCTCTTTTATCCTTGCCAGTTCCTCGCTGCCGAAATGTAGTGGAACTGTCTCAAGGTCCAGCAGCCATTTAGGATCATGAGGCCACCTGGCAATAGGAAGTTACCCACTAAGAACGGCAGAGAAAGAAGATGCCAGTGGCCTGAGTCCCATGCTGTAAATCTACCTGAATGAAGTCACCTACCTCTGAAATTATTTCATGAGAAGAAAAAAATGTTGTATTTAAGCTACTATTATTTTGAGACTTTTATGTGCAGCTGAACCCAATCCTAACTGATAAGTCAAATAAGAAATGACTCAAAATAAAGAACTCGAGAATGGCAAAATCATCATAGAAAATGAAGAGGGGATGTCCCTGGGAAGCTACCCATAGGTGCACTTCCTAAATCATGACAGCCTGCAGTTGTTCCCAGGGGTATCATCCCATCAGCAGATAAGACCCGATGAAACCAGTGACAAGGAACATGCTGTTTCACAGAGACATCTTGATGTGGTTTAAAAACAACAAAGGTTATGAATTTTTATATTTTATTATGGGTATAAACCTATAATCTGACACAAGAAATTGCTCTGAAAAAATACTCCAAAAAGGTTTTACCACCTAATCAGAAAATCAAGTTAGATAAGGTTAAGTTAGATAAGGTTATAACTATAAAATCATAACCACCTCTACATCCCATATACACACACACACACACTCCAGAACTCATTATGTCAATCCAAAAAGACTGGAAGGAAATATAGATTTGGAGGTTACTGGGACTTCTTTCTCTTTTATCTCCTTTGCCTGTATGCACCAAATTTTCTCTACTGAGTGCAAAATTCTATTTACAGAAAATGAAAACTGTTGTATTGTAAACAGATTATTTATAATCAGAACAGCAGGTTAATGGAATAATTAATATAATTATTATTCCAATTGTGAACTTGCTTTTGTAGTCAATTTATGCATACAATAATCCCCAACAATCTTATTTAGGCTATTATTTCACTCTCTTTATAGATGATACAAGGTCAAACATCTTTGTGAATCATTTTCAAATGATCATAATTTCTAAATTAGTGGGTTCTAAGGTATTAAGGCTTTACTACATATACCTATACAAATTTTAATTTTTTTAAAAAAGGTAACTATATTTACCTAATACCTCAGCCATCCTGTGGGTTAATTCTCAGAACTAAAAAAGAAATCACAGTCATGTGCATAAAAAACAAGTTCTCTTAATTTAGTAAAATGTCTTTTTAATATTTATTTATTTATTTATCTATTTATTTATTTATTTTGAGGAAGGGAGGGACAGGGGAAGGAGAGAGAATCTTAAGCAGGATCATGCCCAGCATGGAGCTCGACGTGGGGTTCACTCTCACGACCCTGAGATCATGACCTGAGCCGAAATCAAGAGTTGGTTCCTCAACTGACTGAGCCACCGAGGCACCCCATGATTTGGTTTCTTTCATCAGAGTAGGGAAGCATAGTGAAAAACTGTGTTCTTAATGCAAGGTCTAGGTATGTTCTTCTTGTTCCCAAAGCTTAGGTTAAATAGATATATTAGATGTTCTAATCTGTGCAGCTTCCACTGATTGCTGGGTTGGAGACTCCACTGGCTACCCTGTTGGGTAGTAAAACAAGTTAACAGCTATTGTATCAAACATCATAGACCAGCTATTTATAAGCAGATGATATTGCCAAAAAAGTGTTAAAAATCCAAGTCAGTTAAATAAATATTTAGCATTTAGTACTATACCTGGGGCTATGAGATATATATATGAATACATGTAAGAATATATATGAATGCATATGTAAGGATACACACACACACACACACACACACACATAAGGCATGGGCACCTGGGTATACACCACAGTACCTGTCTTCAAGGTATTTGCAATCTCTGGGGATGGCATGACATATACACCTAATATGGTCAAATGTTGAAATGCATACATTCCTCATTACTTTTTTTATACAACCCTAATTTCCAAGAAAACTGATTTAGTCATTGTTCCTCAAACATTCTCTCATCATCCTAAATTGAAGCTCTTCTCTCTTACTGAAACACCTCCATATCCCATCTTTAACTGTCTGAATCATGTTTAGTAACTAAGCATATCTGGGGTGCTGCCTATATCATGAGCCCTTTGAAGATTACCATCCATTGTGTTCTCTCACAACTTAGAAACAAAACCACACTTCATTTACTCCTCACTAACAAAACTGAAATTTCTCTGGCTTCCTTATAATTTCAATTTTGGGTACATGATGTTTTCCCAATTGGTTTTTCACCCAGTAAAAAAAATTATGAGGGATGCAAAGAAGCAGGAAAAATGATCCATAATGAGGACAAAAATCAACCAGCCAAACTTGACCCAAATATGGCAAAGATGATAGAATTAGAAGGCAAGGATGTTAAAAGTCATTATTAAAACACAATAATATATACAACATTATGCCAATAAATTCAACAATTCATAGAATGAACAATTTCCTTAAAAGACACATGCTACCAAATCTCAGAAAGAAATGGGTAAACTAAATTTGCAAAGATGTTAACATAAAGAAAACTTCAGGCCCAGATGGTTTTATTGGTGAATTATGTCAAAAATTTCGGGAAGTAAAAACACGTATTCTCTGCAAACTTTTCCAGAAAAATCCTATGTCCTAATCCTATGTCATTCTGAGAGGTCAAAATTACCCTTATAACAAAACCAGATGAAAACATTAGAAGAAGAAGAAGGAAGAAGGGGAGGAGGAGGTGGAGGAAGAGGAGCAACATATCAATAAATATTCCTCATGAACATAAATGTAAAAATCCTTAATATTTTAGGAAATCAAACCCACAAATGTATAAAAGAATAGTATATCATAAAAAAGATTTATCCCAGGAATGCAGGGCTGTTATAAGATTGAAAAATTAATCAATGTAACATTATATTAAGAGACTAAATAAGAAAAGCCATATGATCATCTCAATAAATACTCAAAAAGCACTTGACAAAATCCAACATCAATTGCTCACTGAAACTCTTAGTATATTAGGAATAGAGAAGAGCTTCCTCACTTGATGGAGGTTATATAAAAATCTACAGCTAATGTCATTAGTAAAGTTAAATAACTGAATACTTTCCTCCAAACATCAGGAATAAGGAAGGGTCTACTCTTACCCCAGCTATTCATCACTGTACTGGATCTTATAGCCAATTCAATAAGGTAAGAATAAAAGGCATCCAAATTGGAAAAGAAGCAATAATAC